AGGTGGATATTACCCGATTAGGTAATTGAAAAGAGATTCCGTGATTTTAACACCACCAAAGTAGAATCGAGGCTGGTAGACTGCCACACGACGTTGGTGGATATATTAAAGGACAGATACTAAACACTTTTCAGGCTCAATGTGCAGAGCGCAGACTCACAGAACTTTGCAATGTCCTCCTCGATTCAAACCGTGGGTGTGATCGGCGCAGGCGTCATCGGAGCCAGCTGGACAGCACTCTTTTTGGCCAAGGGCCTCAAAGTGATTGTAACAGACCCAGCGCCAGGAGCCGAGGCAAAGCTGCGCGACTACTTGCAGGAGTATTGCTCTGAGGTACCGAATGCCACGGTTGCTCCTGCCGCTTGTCTGAAGAATTACACATTCGTCGAGGACATTGAGCCTTACCTCGGAAGCCTAGACTTGATTCAAGAAGTAAGAGACTGTTCCACAGACCTCATCTGGCACCTCATCATCCATAACTAACAATCATATCAGAATGGACCAGAGAGATTGGACTTCAAACGCCGTCTATTTGCACAGTTGGACGCAAAAACACCTCCTCATATCCTCATCACATCTTCGTCCTCCGGCCTTCCTTCGTCAGAATTTGTCACTGAATGCTCCCACAACCCATCTCGAATCCTCATCGGCCACCCCTTCAACCCTCCTCACTTGGTGCCTCTCGTCGAAGTTGTCCCTCATCCAGGAACAAGTCAAGACTATGTGACAGGTGCATACAATTTCTACAAAAGCCTGGACAAAGACCCGGTGGTCGTACATCAGGAAACGCCTGGTTTCATCGCCAATCGGCTACAGGCCGCCATCTGTGCCGAAGCGTACAGTCTCGTAACACGAGGAATTGTCTCCGCCGAAGATCTTGGTGAGTACTGAATTTCCTCCCCACTGGGATATGCGGGCAATTCTAATGCATATAGACAAAACCGTCACGTCCGGTCTCGGTCTGCGCTGGGCACTGACAGGGCCGATAATGACAAATACTCTTGGGGGAGGGGGAGACTTTACCCATTTCATGGATCATCTGGGTCCGGCGTTGAAATCGTGGCTCGACGATATGGCGGTGAACAAATTTGACTTGGGATCCAAGGAACAAGTGAACGGCTTAAAAAAGAATGTCAATGGGTGGATATCGCAAGTCGACCTGAAAAAGGTTGAGGGAAATCGTGATTTGCTATTAGCTAATCTGGTCAAGGGCAAGCTAGACCAAACAGCGAATCAATAGGATAACTGGGTTATCGACGCTTTTTATGTGACAGGACAGCCATGTTGTGCAACTGCAGATTTTCGATAGGAATAATAATAGACTTACGCGAAGCGGTGGTATCCCTTGACACGATGTTCCTCTGAGTAAAGCCTAGCATTGACTGCGGCGATCTGCCGGTCACTCCTTATGGTCATCGTAAGCAATTCACATCGGCAACTTGGAGGCAGCCTGAGTCTAAACCCCCAACTTGCAGTCCGCGTTACGCCCATCGTAGTCTTACTTCTCGCCAATGCCCAATTTTGAAGGAGACTGAGGTGAATCTCAAGCAGCTACAAAATGAAGCTCTACATTGAAAATTGTTGAGTTAGCGTTGGTACATTTATGGTCATGTCTAGTGCAAGCTGTGTACCGACTGACATACCTTGTTTCCTGAAAGCCTGCTGTTCACTTGAGCAAATTCGTCAAATACATGGGAACTGGGAAACGTCATGGTAGTGTCGCATATTCATCTTCCAATTGGCTTCCTCGCCTTCATCAGCGCACAAGGATCCGTCCGTCATTACGCGTGTGCGTCCTATCTAGCGCTTGTCGGAAAAGCAGCGGACTTGACAGACCGGCGCGGAAAAGGCCCGGATCGACAGTGAAATCATCCAAAACAGCCAAGCTTCTACAGATGATGTGGACCGCGCTCGATCCCAGGCTTCCAACTCGCTGAACGGATATTATGCTTGGTATAACTCGGCTTCAAGCTCCCCGTGCCCCTACAACCCCTCCGGGTTTCCTCCACAATACAGAAGACGGGCCCCCGATTCCCCGGACGAGAATATATGGGTCTGGCAAGGTGGTGAAATGGCATTGATAGCCACATCAGACTCCAGGGAAAAGCGAGGCCCCCTTAATGCCTTCGATTAGAGCTATTCTGTTTTGCCGGAAGTCTTCTCTCCTGCCTCCTCCCCTTCCCAGCACTCATCCATATACGCATAAACAAGTTATTCCAACAATTCATGTTGGGACAGTAATCTCTCCGTCGCTAGTCTGACTAGACGCGATATATTGTTTTTGGTCTAGCGGTTAGTGCTCCGACAATTCATTTATTATACGCCAAATGAAGCCCGCTTTAGGCCGCCGTGGCACCAAGCTCAACATTGGACACATCTGTACGGTCATTCTCCCGGCCTACATCTGCTTCGGTTATCTCATGGCTGTGACATCGGGCATCGAAACTCGGCAGTCATGGGTACACACATTTCCTCAGATGGACACTGTCAATACGATAGGCTCCAAAGAAGCAGAGAACTCTCGAATCAAAGGCACGGTGACGGCAATCTTCAACCTGGGCTGTCTTTTCAGTGCCCTTAGTTGTATAGTCGTGGGCGATATCCTTGGTCGTAAGAGAACGTTCATGCTGGGTCTGGTAATTACAATCGTCGGCTCAATACTCCAGTCGAGTGCATTCTCCTTGCCACAGTTAACCATCGGGAGGTTTGTTGCTGGATTCGGCTTTGGTGGCGTGACTGCTACTGGGCCGAATTGGTATGAGGACCACTCCCATTGTACAAGTTGGATTTTCCCACGCTGATTCCGATTTATACAGGCAGAGTGAGACCGTTCAGCCCCGGTTAAGAGGATTTATTGTCATGCTACAGAGTATCTTTCTGTGTACTGGGCTGGCACTTGCCGGGTGGCTGGAATATGGACTCGCGTTCACAGAAGGATCGGTGACCTGGAGACTTCCTCTTGCAGTTCCTTGTTTTCTCTGTCTAGTATCCCTATGCTGGGCTCCCGTGTGGCCGGATTCAGTACGTTAAACTCCCACCATTACGTTATACGTGAATGCTAATAGGGCAGCCACGTTGGTTGATCAAAGAGGGTCGCATTGACGACGCTCGGAATGTCCTTGCTATGCTCCGCGATGAATCCGTCGACAGCCCCGGTATCGTTCACCAAATCGAAGAAATCGAAACATCGCTTCAGGAAACTGGACAGGGCTCCTTTAAGGATATCTTTCGGAACGGACCGGCACGATTCGCCAACCGGGCGTTCATCGCTGTCTCATTGCAGATGGGGCAACAGATCTGCGGGGCCAATGCGATAACTTTCTACCAATCGACTATATTCGAGACTTATCTTGGTATGGACGGGACTCTATCGTTGCTTATGTCCGCGGTTCTTTTCACATGGTGTGCCCCTCCTTCATTATCGCTTCTCATCGTGAAATTAGTGCTAAGGTAACAGGAAAATGCTAATTGCCCCCATCGGCACCCTGACTATCGACAAGGCTGGACGACGCAAATTGCTACTTATCGCCTTTGGTGGGATGGGCATATGCATGGCCGTGATGGCAGGGTGCATCTCCCAGCCATCCAATACAGCCGCCGTTCATACCGCGGTTGCATCCATTTTCCTTTACGTGTTATTTTACGTTAACGGGTGCATCGGCTTAACGTATCTCTACTGCTCCGAGATCGCACCACTGGCTGTTCGGACACAGATTACCGGCATGTCGACGGCGTCGTCGTGGACATTTAACTTCCTGGTTGTTGAGGTCACGCCTACTGGGTTCAGCTCCTTGGGCTGGAAGTATTTTTTCGTTTATGCAGCCATCAATTTGGTCTTGCTTGTGCCGAGTATGTTCTTGTCTTCATCTTTCATTTGCCTTGGTCATGTGATGCTGATGTCAATAGTGGTGTACTTTTTCTTTCCCGAGACGAAGAGTCTGCACCTAGAGGCCATTGACAATATCTTCCTTGATAGTAGAAACATATTCCAGCCGGTTTCTGCGGCTAGAGATATGAGGAAGCATGGTCGACTGCAGGGTGCGCATGGGAGCTTGCAGGTTGAGGAGAAGGCGACAGAGGAGCATATGGAGGTTGTCTAGGAATACTAGAGAGCTGTCAGGTATGGAGTCACGTACGATGGCTTGAAGTTGGTAACTAGGCCGAAAGAGAACAGGATTTAGGATAACCAGGAATAGAGGAGTAAAAGGTGTAAATAGGATAGAAAGCGGTAGCAGACAATGGATAAGGAGAGCTAGATGGGAAGGCTCAGGGTTCCTGCTTAACGATGATCATTTAGATGTTCCTTTTTGGCCACTATCAGCGCTAGCAAATACAAGGTGGGTGGGAAGTACCACCTTTGTCCCCCAAATTCATCATATTGCCTCTGGCTTTTCCGTGATGACTCCATCAAGCTCTACGACGCACAAGGCTTTGTGTTACTCCTCTAGAACGATAGATTTATTTTCACCGGAAATAATTCGTTGATATCCAGTCAGATCGTTCATTGTAGCCCTACATCCTCGGGTACCTGTGCTGCCCCCGTGATCATATTGCCACTGGCTTCCATACATGGGCTTATTGAGAATTTAGATAGATGCTAGAGTAGCATACAATCGAGCACTTCCCTGTCCTGATCCTAGATCCCTTGACACAGAAAGCTACAAGGCATCTGACATCGCCTGCCATCCATGTTATGTCCCCCTTTCACAGCTAATATGTGCTAAGCCTTTAGCTACGAGCCTAGGCAGATCTACTTTGGAGGCACCGATGTTTATCCGCACGCGGGTTCATTGTTGGCGGAAAACGGCGGATTTGTGACGGAACATTACCCGAGTCATCAGAAGGAGTTTAAGACATTTGACGACGGATACTATGATATGCGTGACTGAGCATGTATCGTTGCAAATGAGAAGCCGTTCGTATAAGATGTATACCTACTGAATTTGTTGGTATGGCTGGTTACACGCCTGACTTGAAATCGCAGTGCGGAACATGCCAAAATGGGAAAAAAAAACGGTATAGAAAGTACGTATAGATAATCTGTGAATTAACTGTGATTGCAGAATAGCGGGCCGCTATTGTAGCTATGTGGGTATATCAAGGAATTGCAAGCTGCTACGGAGTAATATTTGCTTATTCGATCAATTCTAGGTTTTAGTATCCATGATGCTATGTCTACTTGTGGAAATAGGGAAGTTTGCCAGATCTCTTTGCGGGAATCTGGATGGATCTAGGCTGGAATGGCCCGAGAAAGCAGGGATGTATCGGCATAGCCTTATGCATACAGGTCGACGCAGTACCACTTCTCCTCCACATCTTGATCTGACTAATATCCGTTAGTAACACGAAAATTCTATTACTCAGAGTACGCGCGAATATCACCTTCTCAGACTACCAACAATCTTATAACCCACTTGAATATTTGATCGTAATATTCCTGGCGAGCACATCCAAGACTACCCACAAAGTACCTCGGACAGACGAGAAATCCCTCATCATCTTGCCACCAGATACTACATCCCTCTCGGCCGCCCTGACCCAGTCCCACAGAATGCTATGGCCATTAATGGCACTCTGGGACGACATCTACACCAAGTTGAAGCAAGGAGGGATTCCTCTGTCGGACACATCCAACCAGGGCGCAGGCGGGATTCTTAATGAACACATTCAGGATGATCGAAGTAGGTCAACAGTAAACGAAAATAACTTCGACAATTTACGAAATGGGATATAGTAGAGCTACCTTACGACTCGTGACATGTCTAAATAGGTACGCCCATTCCCGGGATCTCCTTTTGATGGTCAACAATTTCCATGATCAGATCGCTCGGCCGATCATTGATATTGCACATAACATGGGTGCGCATAACGGTATATTTCGCCAGTGTCCCGCAACAAAGCCCCAAGATTCGTGGGGCATTTCTACGCCGAACCTTAGACCCTAGAATCTGGAGAGACTCTTGTATCTGAAGCTCCATGCTCTTTCAGATAGACGTGCGTTCGAGGAAACCCTGGGCATACTCCAATCTCCATGCAAGCTATCAGGGCGCCCTTCAGCGTGTAGATATTTTCAGCACCTAGGAAAGCCTATCACTCCTATTCATCGGACCACCGCTCTCTCATCTGCGGTGTGATACTAGGAACTGTGTATACAAACTCTACCTCCAGCCAACAATCCCAGTCCCAATCGATCCAATCTGAAAATGCATATAATTTTGCTTTAGCATCCTTCCAACAAAGAAGAGGAGAAATATAATACCCCAAAAAATTATTCAGCTGCATTACAAGAAGATCATCTCGTCAACAGTTGAACAGAGCATGTCCAAAATCAATAAATATTATCTGAGACTGGCTATCCACTGCAGATCTAATAAGAATATTCCATGACTCTAGATTAATAAGCTAGATATTCTTTTCATAGTTACAGCTTTCAAGATTGATAACTGTTTTCATAATATATTAACAGGTAGACTAAGAGAATAATACTAGTTTAATATCTGCTATAATAGTTCTCTGAATATATTTAATAAGAATTATTTTAATTATCTGTTTACATGTTGAATCAACAGGTAAATCTAAGGAATATAATCTATTATATTTCAGAATACCATGACCTTGGAAATTGGCAAGGGCTTTATATATATTAGCTTCATGGGTGTAGTATTTATCCATACAAAGAAATAGATTAAGATAATCTTTATTATTATTAAAATAAAGCAGGTTATATATCTTTACAACAAGTTCTGCACCATTCTTTGGAAGTGATTGAGAGATTAACATAATTAATCAGACAGTGAATACTTGCGAATTATAGCCATCACCCTTTTTTAAAAGCTTAAGTATTTCCAGGCTAACAGCATCATTTCCTTTACTTCCAGGTAACAGCGGTCGCTGAAGACATCATTTAACTGGACTCATTTACTTTCTTTCTAGTTTGTCACTTTCACTACTCGTGCAACAGCCTCTGGTAACTAGCATTGGAATTGAGACATTATAAGACTCTGCAGTGAACCTCCATCCAGTAGTGTATGGCACCGGAGGCTTGGGGAGCTCTGTAGATAGGATATCGAACAAAGATACATTTTGCTGGAGATAGATCATGGTCTAATTAACTTGCCACTGCGGTTTGTCTTGATCTAGTCTGAAGCCCCTGATCGAAGACAATTTGCAACGCACACTGTGGCCTTTGGAGAGGAACGGGAACCCGGGGGTTCGCCCCTGGCTCGCCCGCCGGCTTAATGACTTTCCAAGCGCCGTTCCAAATTCTCTGCAAGTTCTGTCACAAAGGCAGTAACAACCAATGATTTAGTGTTACTTGTCACACATACTCGTGGTGTGCCTAATATAATGACACCAACCACCTTGCACAGGTAGCCGCCATTTACTCAAGGTGTGCATGTAGTCTAATAATAGCCATCCCCGGTGCTTGACAAGAATACTCGATAATAAATTGCTCGGGGTGCCACTTCAACATTGTGAAATTGAATGTAATCATAATCATTAGAAAGCCTCGAAGTTTGCCTGAATACCTCGGGTCGAGATATCCTCGTTTGACCTCCAATATACATATCCCTAGGTTCCATTATTCAGTTATCATGAATCCTAGCTCGTCAGCAATTGTCACGGCCTTCAATAAAAAACTACCAACCAAAATAACATATGCATATAGTAAAACATACCGCTTTATTCAAAGTACAGCTTCCTCTACAATCAAGTCAGACCCAGTTACAGTCTATTTTAAGGAGGAGATTAACACTTATCACAGATTATTTAATCACTACTTCCCAAGAATTGGCGCTGGTAGTCTATTGAACGCCCGAATACCAGTACTAAAATAAACACATCTACTGGAGGCTGAAACCAATGTCCTGCAGCTAGCCACACTGCAGCTTATCCATTCTGTCAATATTGCACTGCAGCAGACATGTCCTAGAGGGACTCAAATTATTTATTGTACTGAGTCCACTATAAGTAGTACAAGCCACCTTAATATCAAATGGTCTTTATACAACACATAAGATACTCTATTATCTCAGCTTACTATCCTAGAGATCAAAAATACAAACATTATACATAAAGATGATTTCCAGCGCGCCGCCGTCAACAAGCAGAACTTCCAAGCTAAAACGGCAAGGGCTATAGATACAGAAAGCCTAACACTGCTTCAACACAATGCCGTTTAGCTCTCAAAACAAGCTCACAAGTACTTAGAACATTGCCCGTATGTAGCAATCTTCAACTACAGTACAATATTTCTATTCAGTTTTCTGTGGCAAACAACAAAACCCGTATGTAGGTTCTACTTCAATAAAAGCAGGCGCACATCAGGCATGACTTTCCGTCGTCTCCTTTTTGCCTTTGTGGTTTGTGTATTAAAGGATTATGAAGCACGAATGTCACAGAAGCCATAGATCTTCCAATAGTTACTGTTACAGGCCTTATAATATCACTTGTTGATTTCTTGTACTGCTATTGAGCTTTTGTATATGCCAACTCCCTGATTTTACATGCCTGCTTGCTTCTAAGAGCTTACCGAAGAGTATTACTTTGGAAAAGAGTGTAAATAACATATGTTGTGCAGGAGGACCTACCATTTGCTCTGTAATCCACAGGTCCCATTTTCATATACAGTAACAGCTACTGAAAGCCCTTGGCCGCGAACAAAGACAAATAACGCAATGGGGAAAGGTCGCATGGGGGTCTCCTGCGAACAAGAGATTCAACCAATGGCATGGGTACTAATGATGTGTACACCCCTACACGCACCATAAGAGATAACCTCTGGCCAATAATGGGAGCTGATTCCACTTCATATCAACTACCTAATAGCATAATCCTGACCCCTGCCCATAGTAAACATAAATAGGTAGACACTTACCCGCAGGGCTGGAGATGGCTGAGATTCTGCCAGACCACATGTACGCTGTGCTTTCCATCACGATGTATTGAAGAAAAGATTAGTCCCTTGTACTGTGCTTTTGTTTCTGGAATATATTTAAGTGCTGAAGCAATACCGGCCAAACAGCCTGTGTGCTATAATCTCCTACTCCAAGAATAGCATATTGATAGGAAGGGTGGACTGACTGGACTGGGATGTGGTGAGAAAACTGTATATAGATAGAAGAAGAGGGAAGTGAAGAAAGGTATGTTCATGAGATATCCTTATACAGGCTCTCAGATCTTGGCGTCCTCGCAATCGACCTGCAACACTTCAACGACTGCTTCCTGGTTCAATCTAGGAGTGGCTCCATAATTGCGAAAATTGCTTATGTTAGTTAACGAGATATGAGGGAGTGTCCGTGTCTCTCATGCTACTACAACAATAAAGGTGTTGATGGCGAGAGGAGGGGAAACTGATGGTTGACTCCTAATAATGTTATGCGCCCTATCCTGATCTTCTGTAACTTTGGGCTTTACTATCTTAATTCATAATTGTGGATATGATATCCTTGTAATCTACTTGTGATAGACAGATGAACATGATGAGTGCTTCGAAATATATACTTATTATTATTTCAAGAAATCTGTTACCAGATAAATATTCTTCTTTCTATCTAATTGATGTTTTATGCGGGTAATCGATTTACACTGGCAGTATTTTTTATTTCTAGTTAGTAGCTCCTATACTTACACTATATTTAAATTGCATTTCAAGTCCGCTACATGAAAGTATGGATTCCCGTGAATAGAAAGTTAAAGAAGTGATAATAAAGACCATATCATGCTTTAAGCAGTTTCATAATGATGCAAGTATGAATATAAACCTGATGCAGGAATTACAAGAAGGTCTACACTATCACCAGTATAAAGCCACTCCTGCTTGTTCTTATGTTCATCTTTTTCCCTTATACACTCTCCAAGGGTAAGCTTCTGACCAGCAATGGAAACTCCTTCTATTTCTTACTCTGATTGCTATCTGACTGCAGTGGCCAGTACTCCTCTAGAATAACTTTTATTTCTTTAAGTATATGGATGGACCTGATATATCCAATATTATTCTTGTATTATAGCTGCTATGCGACTCGTCCAACCTCTGTATTATCCACTAGCATATCCTAATTGATGTAGAAGTCCTTTCGTGTGACGAGAAATGATTGACTGAGTTGCCGAACTATATGTTCTAGTTCCTGTACAAAGACGTCTCCTATGGCGAGTTTCATGTGCATGTTTTTGATCCTACGTGTCCGCTGATTAAAGAAGATAAGGTTAAAGATCTCTGTGACGAGACGTTCGTCGATGGCGGAGTTGATGAGAATTTCCCGGAGGCACGCAGAATTAGGCAGTTCATTCCTCAGTGGTGTATGTTTAGGATTGCAGTCAAGATCAAGAAAAACGGTATGAAGGCGCGAAAGTTGCCTAAGGGCTTTATAAATTTCATACTCCTTAGTATTACCCTGTGAACGCTGAAGTGGTATATGGAGTTCTTCTAGCTGTGGGCACAAGTTTGCTATTAATCGAACGTGTTTGCTGTTGGAGATGGGATATTTAAGCCCTTCTTGAGGTGTTTGTCGCTGCTTATCGGAGGCCTCAATACTTAGGCCTGCTAATGTGTTGTGGTGGGAGATAATGCGGCTTAAAGAGATGAAGCTCTGCAATCCCCTCAGATACAGAAACTGCAGGGGTCTGAATGCTCGCACAGCAGATATCATGTTTTTAATATCCCATGTAGTATTCTCAGAATCCACGTCCCAGAGGATCTTTATTTGCTTTTTCCAGGGAAGTATATTGATGTAAAGAAGTTCTAAATGGATTATAATCGAGGCGGCTTTGATCAATATTGCTGGCTTGGAATGGACTCCCATGTCAAGAGATCTGAGATTGGAGAGGTTGAGTATGGTCGAGATATTGAGAAGGATGTGCTCATGCGGGTTGTGAGGATTATAGTTGATGAAAGCTAAGGTCTCTATGCTGGTAGTGAATGAGGGTGGTTTTGTATTTAGACTAAATTCCTGCCACTCTTTCTTAACCTTGGTGATGGGGTTTTTATCTCGGCCGTACATATCATGGATCAGCAAGTGTTTAAGATTAGGAGCCATACAGACAAAGCGGAAGGCCTTGTTGTTGTAAACCTAGCCCTGCTTAGCATTCCTGTCTAGTGTATAGACTGCATTTATGGTATGAAGTGCGGGGGACCGCAGGATGTTAAGGTCAAAAGGCTGTTTGAACTTGTTACCAACGCAAGGGTGCGAGTGTTCTAGACCCGGTAGATCAAGGGTTGGAGACTGAGGAGTCTATGTATCCAATCGGCAGGCAGGGTGTAGCTGTTGAAGGGTCTGATAAAGGCAAGTAGGAAACATATTCTGCATGGCGTAGCTGAGTAGCCGAAGACACTTTATTCTTGAAAGGAGGCTAATGATCGGCTCCCAGTCCTGCTGCTGGTAGTAGGAGACAGCTAAGTTGAGGAATCTAAGAGAGAGGCCTCTGGTTTTCAACAATGAGTGCTGGATGAGGGTGTCTGCAGTGGCTCAAGGATTGAAGAGAACAAACTTATTTGCCTAATTATTATTTTGCCAAAGACGCTTGGCTGTTTTAGTCTCCAGCTATGGCTTCTCAACATAAACAAGTTCGAAGGTTCGTGCATACTGTAGGTACTGGCGACCAAGGCCATTGGTGTGAAGCTCAGACATGGCATTGAGAAGATCTGTGTGGTTGAAGAATGTAACTTGAAGATTACGGTAGAGTTCCGCAGCTGCGAGATCATGCCAACCTTGGCATGTTTGACTTAGAGCGGCCAAATCATGCCACGAGTTATTGATGACCTGTTATTCTCTGAGTTTATGTTTGTGTAGTTATCACCATCCCATCCATGCACTTACACACAGGCAAATCAGCTGTTGGACTTCCACGGGTAGGCAATCTAGGGTGGGAATGATGTTTGGCATAGTGACTGAAAAGATGGCAGTGAGACCACATGTTTAGAGAAAGTTGGTTGTGCAGTAGTAAGCAGGGGTACACACAGTGAACCACGGTTTTAAATGCTGCTAGCCAAGATTCTTAGGAAGACTATTAAAGTTTCCCCCACTGACTAAAAGTTGGCTCGCTACTTCTCTGAGATATCCCGGATTGTTAAAAGGAGATGAGAAGCTCTAATTTTTCTGTACGGAATATGAATTTGGTCTTCACCACGGTGAATCTTCCGGAGTTGGTAGAGGCTGTACCACTGAAAATTCGTTTGAAGATCATTATATTGATTTTTAGAGAGGTTTAGAGCATAGCCGTTGAATTAGTATGTATATCTGACTTCTCACTGATTCATATGTTTCCTGGTTTCATGTTCAGATACTATTGGAGAAGTCTCCACTGTCTTGCTGTGTCCCTTCGGCATTAATAGCAATACATGCTCTCTAGATAAACAAGGAGTATGGTATCCTTAGAAAAGTGACTTTATTTGCACTTCCAGCCATGATTTACTGGATCGGTTGTTGAATGAGTGGTTATCAATTAGTCAGGAGCTAATTTATCTAATGATGTGCAAGGACTATTATAATAGGGAATAGCAAGTTGATTACATTGATCCAAGGAGTGCAATTAGGGGTGGTAAACGGGGTTCCGCCGCTTTCACGCCTCTGCAGCACCTCAACCACTGCTTGCTGATTCAATCTAGCAGCCAGCTGAATAGCTGTAAGTCCTCTACTGTCTCTCACATTCTGGTCGGCTCCTTTGCTAAGGAGGTAGTGTACCACATCCACTCTTCTGAGCTCAGATGCCCGGTGCAGAGGTGTTCCCAGTGATATAAAACATAAAACTGAGAAGGTTGGGAGGTCCTTGTGCACAGGAGTGTTCAAAGGCGCTCCCTTTTGAATCAATATTTCCAACACTTCAATAGTGTCAGCATCGCGTTGAACAGCATGATGAAGCAGCTGGCCTGGCTGGATATTCTGGTAATAATCCAATATTAGGCGGATAGTGGAAATGGGGGCTCTTTCCACAGCCTATGAAAGCGGGGAAACGTCTATGGATGTATGTTTATTGGGATCGGCACCATGATCTAAAAGCTAAGATACCATCTCTTCGTTTTCTATAGTAATTCTAGGAGGGATTAATAGGACGTTAAATCGCGGAAGATTGGAGTACGGATGTATCCTAGGATGGGGGGTTGGGTCTCGCATATTGGCTTGTTGATATCCAATCCTTTTTCAATAAGGAAAGCGAGCGTATTCTTGGATCTGTACCTAGTTGTGCTCTGTGCATAGATTGAATGTGTGGGAAATCCATGATCCATGAGTGCCTGCATGAAATCCATGTTGTCTTGTTCTACAGCCTGCTTCATGATAATACTAAAGTCATTTATATGGAAGTTCTCCGACGATGATTCTGCCGAGTTGAGGAGGTCGCGGAATTGTTGGATATCATTAATAAGGTATAGTTCTCTTGCTCTCAGAAGGATGTCCCGAGAGGTCTGGCCTGGAACTTGATAAATCTCACTCCAGGTGGAAGGCGAGGCCGAACTTGAAGTAGGTTGTATGTTCATAACTGTTTGAGGTTGTCAGAGTCTCTGTGAAGAATATATTTATGGAACAGTCGTAAGTAGTTGGAGTTTAGCTCGGGTGGCTGGCGCGCATGGTGCATTTAAACTAATGGCGAGTCACTATACTGAAAGGTGACACAATAGCCGCTGATGTACATCTGCTCACGTGGCCGGCGCTGTATATATAGATTATTCCCGATTTTCCGAGCGCGCAGGGGACATGCGATCCAACTTGTAATCCGCGTCGGAGTATGCCTGGCTACGAATGTAGAAGTTCCACATTGATTGGTCCTACTTGAAGAACACAAGGCATATCCCGGTGATATAGCGTTCTTAGCACTGCGCGAGAGTATAAGTTGGTGGGTTCATAGGTGCTTTTTGGGGAGGGAGTGGTTGTATACTAAGATACCAAAAAGTCCTAATTGGTCCCTTAAGCAGAATATTGAAAATGTCGCAATTAGCCCGTTGGATGCGTGCTCACCCGGCAAACGTGGTTGTTGTGCCGATGAATGCTGTCAGAGTGGTTTCACCATATGAAATGTTTTGCTATCGGCACAGAAGGGCTTGGAGCATGCTCTGCCATTGTAATAGCATCGTCCCGTGGTGCTATTTTTGCTCATATCTCGCCTCGCCCGACAGCATCAGTATCTGACCCATATGCCGGGGACAACAATATTTGTCGGTTGATGGGAGAAGTGACCGCCTTATACATGCGTTACCGCGATGAATACTTTTCCAGCCATACAGATACACTTGCTGTAGGTGCTCTGTATCAGGGTGCGATAGCCCTGCCTGACCAAGTGCAAATTATGCATTCAGCACTTAGTCGCTTGGGGCCGAGTGTGTGGACTTATGATGTACCCGGAAACTACACCAACCCGGGACAAGGAACTGTGCTCGCCATCGGTAACCGCGGGCTCACCTCCCTTGAACTCCCCAACGATGGCCGCGCTCGTATTTACGTTGAGGACCAGCAATATGTTCCGCGGCCGCCGTCCTGATATGGTATGCTGGAATTGTCTTCCCATGGTGATAGATTATCCCGGCCTTTGCAATCCGACCATAATGGCAGTCTGTGACATCATAAGGATATTCCTATCTCTCTCACTATAGTTCCATGCACATACCGCGAAAATAAACACATAGCATTCAAAAGTATTGTATAGCCCAATGTTTTTAGAAGTTATATTAAAGTAGCGTGAAGAGAGGTAGAGTGTATGCTCCCTTCGTCCTGAAGTGTTTACTGTAATAGTATGGCTAACAGCCAGTAAATCTATAGTTGCTCATCACCCAATGCCAAAGTGGTACACGCCCTACTCTTTCGTTGCGAGAATCAGAAGTACCCAGAACAGGAAACACAGTAGCTAGTATCACTATTTCCTCCCTATAAGAGGAAGAGGGGATGTGAGATTGGATGACAAAGAATGTCTATCGGAATCACAAACCTGGCCGCCGATTGAAGACTTACCAACCAGAACAACCCCCAATTATGAAACATTCACTCATGACATCTCCAATGTTACTCCCGATCAGCGGCCCAAACAAATGTTATTCAATGACAGACAGGCCTAGTGCTGCACATAAGTATCTATAGTGCATGCATAGTATAGATCAATTAAGAGGTAGAGCGTTCCAGAAGATAGAGGCACAGCTGCGATCGAGACTGTGTTATCACTAACAGCTGCAACGCTGGTACGGCTTCACCCATGTTCCAATCTGTCACCATTTTACCACTTAGCTACCATGAAACCAGACATAAACGCCTCCTAACGACACGTAGATTCCGATGGGTATCTGCATACGATGAGAGAGATGATGATCTATGATACATGGCGACATTAGCGAATATTTCCTAGAAAGTGCTAGTATTATATATGCAGGATGTGGGCATTGTCATAACTTATAGGGAGGGGTCGTGTATTTTAAAGTATTGTGACGGGAGATACCCCTTTAAGGACTAAGCAGAGACATTCAGTTTTCTCGGGAAAGCCAGTAGAGGCTACCTTACTATGGTGTGCACCGAGCTTAGCAGACCAGAGTGTTGCATACCAAGGCATTTAAAAAATATGCCTTGCATGACCTTTCTCCCCATAGCCTCACCACATATCCGACGCCAACATATAACCGAACAACTCCTGGACACCCCCGGTTGTAAATGCATAGCAATATGGCTCTCCATGAGTAAGACGGCTTGGTGTTGTAAACCTGATGCAAAGGGAACAAGGAATACTCGTATTCGAAGTCACTACGGAAGTCTAGACTTCTGAGAGTTTGTGGCGTATTTGTCATCTCGGATAAAATGACGCGATCAAATCAACTCTGACTTGAATTAATTATTCAAAGAGTTCCGCCCGCACATACCTTTCCTCTCATAGTGCTTCTAAGGATGTAAACTTATAGTAACCTGGATTGAGTACGAGAAAATCTGAGTCAACTGAGACATAAAGGGGATGGCCATCCCCGCCCTCCAAGGCTGGCACCCCGGCGAAGTCGCCATCCAACGCCAACTGGGCTACGCGACCGCCGTATCATCTCATTGGACTGCGGTCGAAAACCAGCTTCGTGAACAACATCAAATATTCCACACCTCGAATTTGCCGTTCATTCCACTCACGACTACCGATGCTGATGGACGGCCCTGGGGTGGAATAGTTGCAGGATCGACGGGAACTGTCGGGTTCGTAGACAGTCCAGGTTTAAAGTCGTTGGTTTTCCGAGCACGATTATGGGAGGGCGATCCAATATTATCGACCCTTCAGGGGTGGACATCATTGAAAGATATCAACAATCACCAAATGGAAGGCAGAATATCGGAAAAGAGGTCATTGACCGCTGGGTTGGGGATCGAATTTCCGACGCGGAGAAGGAATAAGTTTGCGGGGAAAATTTACATGGTAAAGGCGATGTCACACCACGATTATATATTTGAAGTTGAGATTACTGAGGCGCTGGGGTAAGAGGCTCATCCCAACATGGTCAAGGCCAGAACTACCGGTACTAAGGGTAATCACAGCAATTGTCCAAAGTATATAAATGTGCGTCAACTTGACCCGTTCCCGTGGGCGAAACCATACCTCGCTTACCAATCACTGCATATGGCACCAACGGAGAAGCTACCTGCGGAAGTGATTGATATCATAGAATCCGCCGACACGGTCTTTGTGGCAACAATACACAGACCTGACGCTACCTCCGCAGCAATGTTTCCCGCACACGCGGGCATGAACTCTCGTGGCGGCTTACCCGGGTTTCTACGGGTGAAGCCATCGGACCGACGCAGCGTTGTCCTGCCTGATTACTCTGGTAACAGATTCATGAATAGTCTTGGCAATATCGAATCAAGCGGATTAGCAGGGTTTACGATCATCTCTTTCACAACCGGCGACATCCTGTATTTGACCGGTGCGGCAAGGAATTTTGTTGGGCAATCTGCTCTCCAAATTATGTCTAAACACGCAATAATTACTGTTCTTGAAACCACCGGATTTACGCTTGTTCGGAACGCACTACCCGTGAGACAGCGCAATGGGACGGAAGTTGGGCGCAGTCCCTACACACCCAAAGTCAAATATTTGGTCGGAGAACGACATGCAGATGCGACTGGTACACAGGGGCACAAGGCAAAACTAGAAAAGGGGATGCAACCGTCAGATGACCTGGCCGTTATCAGGTTTAATGTAGTCCCTAAGGACGGCATTCAGCCGTTAAGGATCCGACCAGGCCAAGCTATAGTGCTAGATTCCATGGACTGGATTGGTCCACCGCAGTACCAGCATATGGCGGATTCAGCACCTGGGTCGATTAATGATGACCGTGTGCGAACATGGACAGTATCTAGCGCACACGAAGATACCGATGTCACATGGTTTGAATTAACAATGCGGGAGATGATGGGTGGTGTCGTGACAAAAGCTCTGTTTGATGTCTTGAGGAATTCGCCGCCAGATAGATGGGATTATGCTATTCCTCTTGAGGGAGATGTTGTCACAGATATTGTGGGTGTAACAGGGGATTTTGCATTAAATAAAAAGGAGGTCAACCTGCTGCTAATTGCTGGAGGAATCGGGATCACGCCCATTCTAGCCATACTCAAAGCACTGGGTGCACGCGAGAACACCCCACAAGGTGACATTGTGCTTGTGTTATCAACAAGAGAGCCGGATGTCATGCTTACACTCATCGAAATGGCTTTGGATAAGGTTTCATCGGCTGTCAAGGTAAAAATAGATCTATTCACCAGCCACTCTGTTAACCTAAATACCCGAACGCCAAACAAAAGATGTACAAGCATCGCTATATATAAAGGTCGACTTGGACAAGAATACTGGAAAACCAGCGCCACAGACAAAGACGTGTTCATATGTGGACCCAAGGCCTTCGCAGATACTGCTGTGGATGGATTACAGTCCATCAGTGTGCCAAACGAGCTAATTCAGCGGGAGGGATTTTATTAAGCTCTATAAATCGTATCGTCGAAATATGTGTATTCGGACCTGTTGATATGGTATGGAGTCAACTGTATGGGTGGTCTTCAAACAAGACCGAAAGCAATATATCGCGCCCAGTCTAATTACATGTAAAGAGCAATACCTAATACTATTTATGAAGGCGAGTCACTCAAGAAATGATGCCAGTGGAATTATTATATAGGATATCTCCGACAGGTGTTTGAGTGAGGTAGAACTGGTCAAGCTCGCCAGGAAGATCTAGACCTTCCTGACTTCAGCAACGGTAAGGAGTCGACCGCCTACTTGATAATTTTAGAGCTGTAATGGCTTCAATTTCTGCCACAACCTGCCCTTCGAACTGTGCTACAGATGCCGGGGATATACGATTGAGAAAGTGGGGGCTTATACATGAGCGTTTCAGGTCTCTGCAACCATTCTATTACCGCCTAGAACTTGTGGTAGATAAGTAAGGTATATCACCAGTCACGTACAGTAGTATTGTATGACCATGGTGGAACATTATATGTAGATATATGGCTGCAGATAAGCACTGATTCCTCATCGCAAGGTAGCCAAGCAGAGAATACACAGACCTTTCAATCTACAATTTTTTATTATGACAGACTTTGTAAGGTAGTCTGGCTGCTCAGCAAATTCTCTCTCTAGTATCAAACTGTATCTGCCTGACATGAACATTAAACTATTTCATACCCTCCACAATTCCCAATGAGCGGCTACATATATTGACCCAGGAAATCAATAAGCGCAGCATCGACTTCATGGTGGTGCCTATAATTCAAATAATGAGCGCCTCCTTCAACCACTAGTAGCTTGGAATCTGGGCTGTTGGGGAGGAGTTTCATCTCATCCTCGGCGTTCCGGACACTGTATATCGCGTTCTTGGTTCCATAAATTCTTAACACTGGACATTGAATGTCAAAAAGACGGCCATGTAAGCCATCTCTGTCACGAAGGTTAAGTACGCACATGCGTGCGCGCCTGTGACCATCATCACCAGACCAGACCCTCTGGAGCGTTTCAACCCAGAAGTCGTAGTCTTCGCTTGGTATGTCATTGAACCCAGGTTTGAATGTCAGTTCTGCCAATGCATCTGAGGGTTGGAACAATGGCATACACTCAATACATTGTAGATCCTCAATGTTTAGTATTAGGATCTCTTTAACATGTCAGCAGCCCAGCTTAATAAAGCAAGCAGTCTCCGCATCCAAAGAAGTCCCAATTAGAATAATACCAGCGACCTGCTCTTACTTTAGTCACTACTACCTAGTAACGTAACTCCCGGCCGCGCCGGCCACCCGCCCGCACCGGCCACCCCTAGTACACCGCCCTAGAATCATTGTATTACTCATTGCTAATTCACTGCCTTTGATAGAAAGAGTGGTTGCATGTAGAAACGTGTTGGGCGGTATACTGGGTGGCCGGTGCGGGCGGGTGGCCGGCGCGGCCGGAAGTTACGTTAGATCATTATCTCAGGAGTTACTAAGTCAGTGTATAGATTACGAGACACAGTTATATTTTAATAACTTTATCCTCAGCCAAGTAATACTTTGCCAGCTTAATGGCAGTAGGTATCTTCAGAATTACGGGTAATATGGGTCCACACTTCAACATGTTGTTCTGTATCCATGGCTGTATAGATTGATAGTTCAGATTAGGCATTTTCTCTGTACTCTCTAAGATTTCAAATAGGCTGTACTTGTTATGATGGTGAATTGATTGACTTCTTAGATAGAGTTAATCTACTGAAGTACCACGGCCGTGTGTTGCTGTCGCGTATGCGCCTATCTTAATAGTATATTATGTTAGGGTGTATTGAAAGTGAACGAGATGCCTGTAATTATAGGTAATTATAAAACTACTTGATTATCTGGATACTTAGTACTGTATACTACATGAAAAATACAGCTTCAAAAATAGTTATGCGCGCCACAAGCATAGCCTCCTTATAATCAAGAACTTGAAGAATGTAAGGGGCGTGATTCAGTCAAGATATGGTGCTTAACAGGAAGATAAATGTATAACTTTATGAAATATATCTAAAAGTAAATGTACTTAATTACTAACTCTTCCTGTTATTCTAGCTAGATTATAATAATCATACCATTGTTGACAAATTCGCAGGCTTCAAGATATCTCATCAGCAGATTCTAATATATTTATAGAGAGGCGACACAAGGCATTACTCCTACTTTGTGTTTTAGATAATAACTTGCTGTGATAGATACCAAGTAAATTGAATATTGATTTGAAGCTCGTGCCCTGTTCATTATATGTGTATAGTTACCTACAAATAGGGCATTTAGGATATAGTATATATCGAGTCTCAGTGGTTAATAGGTACCCGGGGGATTAAATATTTCTAATCTGTTCCTCCGCATCAATATCAATTAGGCCCCAGCTTGGTAGGTCCTCGGAGGTTCAGAATCACCAAGCCCTATTGATCTCCCCACTATGCCATTCTCCAACCCCCCCCCACTCAGGTACATCAGCTTGAAAGCAATGCGGGTGCTCTGTTTAATGGCAGATTTACATCCTCGGGCACTGTCGGCCATACGTCAATGCCGTCCAGCAAAGCTATATCAAGCCCACCAGCCTGGTGCATAAGAACATGACAATGTAGGAGAAAAGGTCCCGGGTTCTCCACATGATATCGAATAGCGAGCCAAGACCCACCCTCTCGAGAGTTGGGTGTCGGATATGTATCCCTGATCTGCGGTTTCACGAAGTTGAACTTTTCTGGGATATGTTGAACTGCGTCGGCCACGGAGGAGTATGTCCATGGGCCTGTGCCCTCTCCAATCACAAAGAACTTGTTTGAATGCTTATGCAAAGGATGTTGAGGTTCGTCTACTGTGACGTTGAATATGATATCGATCCACGTGTCGTTGTATGTTGGGAGAGTATATTGAACAGGTATTGAACTGATGTTATAGAGCACAGGGGTCGATAGATGCTCTAGTGACAGCGGATAGCTGTCATTTCCCAGTACCCAGCGATATGATGCGTTGTACATATGAATGTTCAGGATATATGTGCGGTCCACGTCCGACGCTGGTGGTATTGGCGGAAATGGGACCAGGTTACTTTCATCCAGGATCGATGTTTCCCGCGAGACAGCCGTCCCTATCTCCGTGATGTATGGCTTTGATATGGAGTTCTGCTCAATCGCGGCTTGGTATGACAACACTGCAGTCCCGTTGATGATCTGATTTGCGTAGCTATTTGCAACCCGAACAGTGTAGTTACCTGCAGCCTGGTCGAGTTTGGCCATGACGGAATACCGGGCCCCAATATGAATCGTCAGTGCATGGACAAGTACCGGCTCCACATATCGACCATCAACTGCGTAAATGTATAGCGGATGTTCATCAACCGAAAATACCAGCGAAGAACTTCCGGCAATGTTTATCAGGTCGTAGCTAACGTACCGCCAGGCAGGATCTATCGAGAACACCTGGGTCTCCCCACCAGCTGGCGTACAGCCTTGGTAATATCCTTGAGGAATATTACTTATGTTGAAGGGAAAGAAACCCAGACGTGATGGGATTGGAGGCAAACAGCTAATAATCACTGAGTCAATATACATAGTCGGGTTGAGTGAGCGGAGAAAACCACCGGCACAATCAGGAACTTACCCCATGTCGGACATATTTCCCCCTTTCAGTAAAGCTTTCAGTTCCGGTCGGGTGAGCTCATTGATTTGCTCCTGCGGTGGGCAGTACGTAGAACCCTTGCCGTTCACGAGTATGGAACTAGCGCAGTAGCTTTCAACTCCAGACTGTTCCTCTATATACCAAATCTCGTCCGAAGTGAAACGCCGCCAATCGGAGAGAATGACCGGCTGGGTATTCTGCTCCGCCTCCCTGAGAAACTCCAACTCCACCTCGTCTGTGGTGATCAGCGAGAATGGCTTCTCGATGTTGTCGGCGGGCTCGATGTAGATGGCGCCATAAAGACCATCGTCTATACGGGCCGCTTCATGAGAGTGGTAAATATAGGTACCGTAGTCGTCCGCTTTCCAGGCGTATAAAAATTGGGTCCCTGGCCCGACAGGTAATTGAGTAAGACCGGGAACTCCGTCAGACCAAGGGGTGCCTTGCTGTCGGATACCTAGAAGGCGAGGAAGTCTGTCAGAACAGAACACTGGAGGAGGGTTTCACAGGACAACTGACCATGGAAATGAATGGTAGTTGAGAAAGGCATATTGTTAGTCACCATGACCTCTACATTATCTCCCTGCTTCAACCGAAGTGGGGGGCCGGGGAACTGGCCGTTAATGAGAACGGCCTTTCGGGTGATCCCAGCAACTTCGAGTTCCTCCCACGTGAGTGTAAGATTATATTCAACCACCCGGCATGATGCCCACTGGAAGAAAATGAATAAACTTGCCAAACCAAACTTCCCGTGAGGTATCCACATGTTGTGACGTTTCGTTATTGTTCCGTCAATTTACCAAATTGTAAGCATCCGACCAGCCATTTATAGTTATAGTCTAGTATATTGACTGCCCCTTTAACGCATTCTAGGTTATCTCTGTCCCCTATAGTATGAAGGATGCGACGCACGTATAAGAATCAGTGCGCTTAGACCAGTCTGTGGAATGCATGATGAACTATGTGCTGATATCAAACAGGCTAACTTGTTTTATCATGGAAGATTCCCGGGCATCTTGTTCGATTTGAATTCCTTCCAGTCGTCTAACATACCCAGTGAGGCCAAGGAATGTCTTTAGCTTCCACGACATCTGTAGGATTTAGAGAGTTGTCAGTTTAAAGCCACTAGACGTCCCTTGTTTGAGCCAAGGTAGAATATGATCACGAGTACACTGGTGGGGAGGAGTGGCCTTCACATATTCTGTTATTGATGTGAGCATAGTCGGTCACTAATTTTATATACGACTGTATCAACCGGTAAATAGAGATAGAGATATCTGCGCACCAAATAGGACAAGAGTCCCTGGATATTTCCTAAAGCAAGGCAGTAGCTATCAGACTCCTTCCTAATGCTGTTTAATATGGGCTATTTTTAGGTACAGTGGATCGGGACCCACCTAGTGCCACAAACCTAAATTTTCCGATATACATACCAGGATTGCCCGGTATTTCTCTCCCCTTTATGTATTTATTTCTGTATGGCAATACTTTATTGCTATGGGGAGTTGGCCGGCCAGAAATTAATATATCTGGCTTCTCCAGAGATTGGAGTATTTGTCTGAGATATGAATAAGCTGTAGCTAAAGTACGCCAAGATTCTCGGCTGTGCCCTTATGGTGACTGCAGTGCCTAAAGATGGACTTGAACCCAGCACCAGACTCCACTCTGTAATATATAATGTATTGTTATCACGGCGTTATTCTCATATCCATCTGCTAGCGGCTGGCAGCATCGTCAAGAAGAGAATGTTTTCTGCGCTGAGATCTTTCCCTTCTAGTTCACTGCTGTGGCTCTCCGTAGCCAAGTATGTTACGTATAAATTGGAACAGGAAAATTGGTGGCTGACCGGTAACACCCTTCTGTAAGGACTTGGAACCCTCGCATCCACTACCTGGAGTAGTAGTTCTACCTGAGTGAAGCTTGGAAGTCATATATATTTTAGCCCATTAGCTCAATATTTCAGACTTTTGCCGATGGTAGAATACGTTTCATATATTACTAGAAAACTTACTTATAAGGTACACTGGAAGCAGATTGTAACGCCATCCCTACTGTATATCTCGAAGCACATATTCCCCCGTAGGCAAGGCTGCATACCGGTATCACATGAAAACACTTATTCTTTGTTTAACCCTTGCTCTCTCCCAGCTATGTAGCCAAGACAGCTAGCCTCATATTTTCCTAGTAGCTATTAGCTCTATACTTCATCATATAATAAACGTTAGCTCTGCGAATAGTAACCTAATTGTAACACTATGCACTCAAAACGCTTCTCATTCCTTTATTTAAGGAACGCAGGTATCCCTGTTACGAGAGCCTCTTTTGTTATTCTTTTATATAATCGGCTGTTATTTCTCCACTTAGAGCCAATATACGTCTCTGGAAGCGTAATTCTTGGACAATAATATTTCAATCCAGCTTGAAGGTACCTAAGCGAATACTGGGATTGCCAGCCTTGC